CACTTCTGCTGTCATGGACTGAGCCACTGCACCATGCCCACCCTGCTGTGATAGACTGCAGATCACTGACCCTGAGCCAAAGTTAACCTTTCCTCCTGTGTTTCTGTATGTATAGTGTCAATGGCAGCAAGAAGTAAACTAAGGGGCTGGCAAGATGGTTCTGTGGGTGTGCTGTCTAGTTTTGTGTCAACTTGACACAAGTTAAAGTCACCCGAGAGCAGGCGAAATGGAGGTTTCGACTGAGAAAATGCCTCCAGAAAGTCAGGCTATAGGCAAACCTGCAAGGAACTTTCTTAATTAGGGATTGATGTGAGAGGGCCCAGTCCATTGTGGCTGGTGCCGCCTGGGCTGGTGGTCCCAGGTTCTGTAAGAAAACAGGTTGAACAAGCAATGATTGGTAAGTCAGTAAACATCACTCCTCCATGGCCTGTGCATCACCTCCTGCCTCCAGATTCCTTCCCAGTTTGGGTTCCTGCCTTGACTTCCCTCAATGGACTGTGACTGGGGATATATAAGAGAAATAGACCCTTTCTTCCCCGAGTTGATTTTGGTCATAGTGTTTCATGACTGCAGTAGAAACCCTAACTAAGACAGTGGGTAAATGTGCTGGCTGCCAAGCCTGATGACAGGACTTCAATTTTAGGGACACACAGAGTGCAGGGTGAGAACTGACTCCTTCAGCTCTCCTTAGACCATCACACGTGCTGTGGCACACACATGCCAACACACATAGACACTCATAATAACTGTAATAGAATAAGGGAGGGCTGGAGAGATGGCACAGTGGTTAAGAGCACTGGCTGTTCTTCCAGAGGTTCAATTCCCTGTACCCACATGGCAGCTCACGATTGTCTGTAACTCCAGTTCCAGGTACCTGACACACTCATATAGGTATACAAGCAGGAAAAACACCAAAGCACTAAGATTTTTTTTAAAAAATGGAATAAAAAGAAAAAAAGAAAGTAATCCAAATTATGGCCTGATTTTCAAATACTCATGTGTTTAATAACTGAAGTTATTCTTGAATCTCTGTATTAAAATGTGCTTCTGTCTTTGATATGACAGCCTGAAGGTCTTAAGACAGCAAGCCAATATAATCGGCACAAATGTAGCAAGATATTAGCTATAGAAGCACACTGGTACTGACTGGAGTAAGTGTATGTGAGTGTGGTACACACATGCTACAGCATGTGTGGGGAGGTAACAGGTCAACACTCTGGAGTCAGTTCTTTACTGTCCTGGTGGAATTTGGTGATGGAATTCAGGTGGTCAGATTTAGATGGCAAACACCTTTACCTGCTGGCCATCTCACCAATCCTACTTCAAGTTTTCCATAGTAAGTTGTTGGAAGTGGGTGGAGTCACCATCCTGTCATTGAAACTCAAATTCTCACAGAATTTTCATAGATTCACTCATGGGAAAATGCATGAATATCCATGATGCAAAGTTTACCATTCATTGCTACAAAGAGAAAAAAATTAAGATGTCACTTTCATAAAATGAATTTTTTAAATAAGCAAAGGTGTGTCCTCATCCATTTATACAACCTTTCAATGTATTTGTATAATTTTTCTGTACAGATTTGGTTTTATTTACTAATATTTCTATAACCATCCTAAAAATTGTGGTTACCTAACCTGTAACGGGACCTATTACATACCTGAATATAAGAACATCTCACCTGAGAACATTCTTTAAAAATACAGATTCTAGGGACCAGGGAGATGGCTCAGGGGTTAAGAACAATTGCTGCTTTTCCAGATGTCCCAAAACCCACATTGGGTGGCTCCAAACCACATGTAACTCGAGATCCAATGGAGTTTTCTTCTAGCCTCTGTGGCTATTGACACATGCACATGCACCCACACACATGTATACACACACACACAAACACATAAACACTTTTAAAATCTTTTTTCAAAACAAAGATGGGTACTCATTTGCTAGGTAACTCTAATCACAAATTTTGAAACCTTTAATTTGTTTGCTTTCTCAGACCGGGTCTCACTGTGTATCCTAAGAGGACCTTAAACTCTCTATCCTCCTGGCCCAATTTTTTTAGGGGTGGAGTTATAGGTGTGCACTCTATCACCCATGTGATAAATTTAATTTACCAAATAAATCAGCACATACTTCATTTGCTCAGTCCATAGCTGTCAAATATTATTCTGAGTACTTTGCTATCATAAATAATAATCACAAAAATTATTCTAATAGGTATATCTCTTCATACACTGTTTTCTGAAGAGGATAAAGTGGGGACACTCCCTTCTTAAAAAGCAATTATTTTAGTAAGCAGGCAACTGTGGTCACTGTTGCTCTGGGGAACCCACCACCCTACTGTAATCTGAGAATCACAGGGAACACTGGCAGATATCCAAAGCTATGCTTGCTATTTGAAAATGATTCATTAAGAGATTCCAAGTAACTGGGGAAGAAAGAGGTCTCAGCAGCTAAGAGCACCTACTATTCTTGCCGAGGATTGGGGTTCAATACACATTGAACACATGAAGGCTTACAACCATCTCTATAAGTCCTGTTCCAGAGAATCTGGCACCCTCTTCTGGCCTCTGCAGGCACGAGCCACACACAATGCACATATCAGATACGTACGTACACGCAGTCAAAACACTATAACATAAAGCCGGGCATGGTAACACATGCCTTTAAAGCCAGTATTGGGAGGTAGGCACGATGATCTCTGTGTGTTTGAGACCATCCTGGTCTACAGAGAGAGTTCCAGGACAGCTAGGGCTGTGACACATTAAAACCTTGTCTTGAAAAACCAAAAAAAAAAAAAAAAACCACTCATAAAATAAAAATAATTCTTTTCAAAAGGAGAGACTCCTTTGCCTCTGTCACTATAACCACAGAATCCATGCTACTTTTGAGTCTACAACCCACAAAATGACTTCTATATTTTCAGTTGTCTAACCTCACCCCCACCGTCTGCTACTCTGGTAATTTAACTCAGGGTCTCAATGTACAAAGCAAGTGCTCTACCACTGAGCTACACCCCTAGTCCACTATTGTCTTATGCTTATCTAAGTTCATAACTGTAAGGGAGGAATAGCTCAGTGATACATAGCATAAGTTAGGTCCTGGGTTGATCCTAACCACCAAAAATAAATAAGAAAATTCATTAATTAAATAACTTTTTAAAGAAAAGAAGACCAAAAGCTAATACATAATAATCTAATGTATGTCATAGCTACTATAGCAGCAGCATATACTTGAAAAAAATCACTAAAATGTTAAATGTCTCAGCAAAAAAAAAAAAAAACAATTACATGAGGTTATTTAGACTGATTTAGCCATTTCATAATATATAAATTTCAAAGTGTTATTTTAACTGTATACCATTTTTGTCAAGTAATCTTTTACCATGTTTTAATTCCAGCACTCTTAAGACAGAGGCAGGTGGATCTCTGTGAGTTTGTGGCCAATTTGATCTACATAGCCAGTTCCAGAACAGCCAGGCCTGAAAAGGGAGGCCTATCTCAAAAAAGAAATCAAGTATTCATTATTGAGTTCACATTTATGAGTCCCCAAGGGCACTTTTCACACACAGTCTCATACATGCTAAACTAGTGTCAGGTCTTTGCAAATGCAACACATTTGGAGTCCATCCTGTTGTTGTCAGGGTGGCCACAAAGTCTAAAGCATATGGGCGTTACCATGGCCTGTACTGCTGAAGATCAAAATGGCACACAATTATCACCCAAAGACATATAAAGCCTATGTTTCTTAAACAAGAATGTGGTGCTCTTTGCCCAAGTTTCTCTAAGAATTCTTTTTCCTCTTTAAAAGGAGGTCGCATAGTACTCAATATTAAAAATCACCGACTGAAGAGACCACAGGGACTATTTCTCTCACCCACCATCCAAGTTAGATCCAGCACTCATCAGAAATTAAGGGTGGTGTCTGGAAAGAACCCAGCCAGGCTGAGAAGGCTGGGCTGGGCCTTTGTGTCCCACATCTGCAGCCACAAGAATCACTTTTTGTCTTTTATCATATTGACAGAAACTAATGCGCCAAGTCTCAAGAATGCTTTCTGGGTTGTATGCAGTAAGAGAAGCCTGTAAATTCCAATGCTCCAGAGGCTAAGGCAGGAATATTGATTATAATTAGGAGCTCAGCCTCGGCTACATAGAAAGTGTCTGGGCTACACAGGGAGACTTTGTCTTCAGAAGGAAAAAAAATAAATTTTAAAAAGCAAGCATTCTGAGACTAAAGCCAGCTAAAGCTACTCTATTTTACTGATAGGAAAGAGACCCTTAAACGAGGTCATAAATTTACATAGTAGCTTAAATAGAAGAAAATCCCCGGCCACCATTACAAAAGATAACTAGTAATCCTGTGAGTGAATTCTAGGGCAGCCAGGGACACATGAGTCACCTGGGGGGCGAAAAGAAAATCCAGATGATTGTGGCTCATGCCTTTAATCCCAGCACATAGGGGGCAGAGGCAGGCAAGTGTCTGAGTTTGAGGCCACCTGGTCTACAAGAGTGAGTTCCAGGATAGCCAGGGCTCTTACAAAGAGAAACCTTGTCTCGAAAAACTAAAAAGAAAAAGGAAAAGAAAAATCCTAAGACCTCAATACAGCCATTACGTCCACTACTTCGGGCCCATTTCTGCCCTCCTTAGTCCCAATTTCCCTTGCATCCTCTCCATGACAGCTTGCCAAGCTATACTTCATTAATTCTGACCTGCAACCGGACTGTTCGGCCAGGACAGCCATAAACTGAAGAGGCCACAAATAACAGACTCCACCCGCCACAGAACCGGCGCTTAGCTAGGCCCTCCCTCGGCAGCAGAGCTAAACCCAAGGCACATGCACCGCCAAAGCCTGTCGCGCTTCGATGGCGTCACACAAAGCGCCATGTCCGAGATCTGGTCGCATCCATTGATGCCTCCTGGAGCAAGTCTGTTTGTGTGCTGTGTGCACCTTGTTTCTTGGGCACAAGAGATATTTCCAGCGGAAAGGTAAACAAGAAATAGTCCTGGTGGCTGAAAGCTGCTGAACAAAGTGAAGAAAGGGAAAGAGTGAGTGAGACCTGAAGGAAACGTCATCAAAACGCTCCGGAAGCATCCGACAATGAAGGGTAAGCGGGATGAGAGACACGAAATTGGGCCAGGATGACAGTATAGAGGGTCTGGAACAGGAAGTTGAATCAGGGATACCTGTCGCAACAGAGTCCCAAGACAGTTTCCAGGGAAACTGTGTACTATTGACTCATCGTACACAAAAGAAATCCAGGCTCAGAGTGTGAACTGGCTGGACACAGTCTCTAAGCTAGGAATAGATGTCCAGATCCAGTGTGTGTTCTCCCCAGGGGAGCTAGGGCTGCTCAGGGGAACTAGAAGAGGTGGATCCAAGACCTTGGCGGGACTTAGCCACTACCTGCCCAGATAACTGCTGACAGGACCTGCTCCCCTCTACCACCTGGCTTTTCACCCTTTGTCATGTAAAATCCTTTTTAGGCGCAGTATCACAAACCTAAGGCATTGGTATTTGAGCAGAAAAGAGATGTTCCAGGAAAGGAAGCAAGCACTGGAGCAGTATAAGAGGGGAGAGAGGATACTGTAAAGATTAAGCCTCTGATCTGTTGATTTACACTCCTGCCATGTCCTTTTATCAGAGATCAAGTGCCTTGGCATATCTCTACTTCAATATTATTTTGTACATAACTAAGAATAACTATGTTTAAAATTGCTTAGAAAGATTAATGAAGCCGGGCGGTGGTGGCGCACGCCTTTAATCCCAGCACTCGGGAGGCAGAGCCAGGCGGATCTCTGTGAGTTCGAGGCCAGCCTGGTCTCCAAAGCGAGTTCCAGGAAAGGCGCAAAGCTACACAGAGAAACCCTGTCTCGAAAAACCAAAAAAAAAAAAAAAAAGATTAATGAGATTAAAGTAAATGTATACACGCACCTACCAGTGTATATATGTGTTGTTTTTTTTTTTTTTACTTTTAAGGTAGAAGCTTTTAATAGAATTATAAAAAAATAACACTATTTCAAAATCAGGATAAGTAACCATGGGTATATTTTCCCTCTGCATACCCATATTCAAACATGATTTCTAGCCATTCTTAAATTAACAAGGAACAAATACAGAATCAAGGTAGTGTGTCAACAGAAGTACTGTATTAAAGCTATCATCCCTAGAAAACAGAAAACACAAAGTGAACTCGTGCAGCCATTTCCAACTTCATTGTGCATCAGAAAGCACTTTACTGTGATAAACGACCATTAGGACACCGTAGGCAAATCATCAGACAAAGCTAGCCCTTTGCTTTCAGAATTCTAAAGTTTAGTCATCCTGAAGGGGAAAAGACAAAAATACACCGCTGTATAAAGAACAGCCACTTACTTACTGCAGGATTTCTCTGAATTTCAGATTCTGAAGCAAGAAGTTACCCTTTCATAGACTCTTGTAGAGATTAAGTTAAGCAAGTGCTTTCCCTAACCATAACACAAAGCTACTTCTATCATTTCACCACCTCTTTACTGATGCAGAGGACATTTCCTCAATCTCTCAGTCTCAAATGACTATTCTTCACTTTAGAAATCAATCAACAATTCATTGGGTTCAACATCATCGACTACTGTCACCATTTTGGCACTGGTACCATTTTTACTATCTTCTGACATTTTCTTACATAACATTTTAGTACATGATTGAAATGGTAAGTTCTGTATTCAAACTAAGACAACAGATTTAAAGAAGGGGGAACTAAAGCTTCCCATTCTTGAAGGCGACTGCCTTTAAAAGTGATTCATTTTATACAAGCTCCGATAGTTCCAGGATTGCTTCTAAGTCTCAGTCTACTGATAAACAACACCATGGGAATAAAGTACCTACAATCTCCACCATTCCCTATTTTCAATATACTACACAGTAATGTCTCACAGCTAAAATGCTTTTGGCCATTTAAATATCTGCCCACATAAATATCTGAAGTTTTAATATTCTAGAACTGTAAAAGATAGCTATAGAGGTGTACAGTTAGGCCAGGGTTAGGTATCTCAAACTTGGCACTAGTGATATTTTGGGCTGGGTAATTCTTTCCTGTGAAGAGGAGAGTCAGGCATTACATGGTGTTTAGCAGAGCCTATAGCCTCTACTGATAAGAGGGCAGTAGCCGCTCACACCTATATCTTTTTTGACCACCAAAAACCATCTCCACACAATCCAAAATGTCTTCTGGGTGCCCAAACTCCACTTGAGAATCACTGGATGGGAACTTTATTGTAGACATTATTGTATTAAATAATTTGGGGTGCACAAATAAGACAGGACTCTATGCAGTATCACTAATGTGAAAGTCTAGCAGATCCTCTGCTATCTGTTTATGGTAGGCAGAGCGTTTATAGAATATACTACTGAACCATGTGGCTACCTATGTGTTACTATCTTTTCTCCTACCCAAAACACTGACATTAGACAGGGGTGGTGATGGGGTAGCTAATCCACCAACCACTTTTACATCAACTGATGGGGAAAAGCTACAGTTCATAAATCTTTGCTAAGAAGAGGATGGAGAACAGTCAAGGCAAATGCCCTTCTTTCTGAATCCGCAGTCTCTCCTTCTCTACCTGCAAGCGCTCCTTTTCGATCTGCAGCTTCTCAGATTCGAACTTCAAAAACTGCAGCCGATCTTTCTCCAACTGCAGGCGCTCTCGCTCAAGTTTCAACTTCTCTGCTTCTATGTCCTGTGGCTGCAGCGTGGACTTATCCCCCTGGCCAAGTTCATTCTCTAGGGCGGGTTTCTCGGTGCTGACCAGCTGCAGCCTCCACTTCTCCCTCTCGATCTGCAGCCTCTCCTTCTCCAGCTGCAGGCGCTCATGCTCCAGGTCCAGGTGGCGCAGCCGTTCTTTCTCTATCTGCAGCCGCTCCTTTTCCACCTGCAGCCTTTCTGCTTCGATATCCAGTCGGCGCTTTTCCAGCTCCAGTTTCTGTTTTTCTATGTTCATGAGCAGATGGGACTCATCATATGTGGGTCTGGACGGTGTGGAATTGAGGGTGAAAAACTCATCTATATGAGGGAAGTCAGGGAGCTCACTTTCCCTCCTGGAATCTGGTATGACAGACGACAACATTTCTTCTTCCTCCTCTATCTCAAATTCTGGGCTTTGTGGGTCCCTTTCTTCTTCTTCTACTTTGACCTCTGTTAGGGATCCACCTGCATCCCGGAAATCTGCCACATTCTGCCAGTCAAAATTTGCATCATTTCGGAATGCAATTTTTTCATCTATCTCTTCAGTGAGAGAGTCATCTAAATCAGATGTGGGCAGAGGAAACCCAGAACCAACCAGCTTCATGTTGGCCTTCATTCTCTTCCTTTTCATGAGTGCACGCCAGTCGAGGTACCGTCTCTTCACCTCAGTCCCCGTCCTCTGTTCTCCTTCTCCTACAGCGTTTACACACTGTGCAATCTCCTCCCAGGCCATTCGCTTCATCACATTTATCGTTGTGTTGAGCTGCTTAGAAAAAATGACTTCTTTCCTTTTGGTAATTTCTTTCAAAAGGGTCTGAGTCTCCTGAACACTAAAATTGCTTTTCCTTTTCCTTTTCAATTGCTTCATTTTTAAAACTTCAGTGCAGGTTTTAATGGCAAGAAGAGCTGTGCAAAGTATGTGAAGAGTGTGTTATAAAGAACAAAGTCCAAGGACAATCCCTTGTTGGTTCTTAATTCAAATCACTGAGTTTCCATTCATCCAGTCATGGAGGTGGTCTAGATACCTGCGACCCCGGCGGCACCATCACAGAATCCATATGTGTTGTTTTAAATCAACTACTTGACAAGCAGTGAGTGTACCAGAGCTATTACATGTGTACTGCTGCAGAAAGATTTCCAACTCTGTTGCTAGGCATCTGGGGTAGGTAAAACAGAGTTATTCCTAGGGTCCCAGGAACTGCACATTAATCTCAGTAAACAAACTGGAGTGTCAATCTGCAGTTCAACGGAGAACTAGATTCTGTATGTAAAACTGGTAACTACCTTGGTTTGTTTGCTTGGTCAAACATGTACTCAGGGAAGCACAGGAGAACAGAGGTGGGTTTTTGTTTCTTTGTTTGTTATTATTGTTGCTGTTGGGATAAGGTCCGCTATATAGTTCTGACTGAGCTGGAAACAGACTGTAAACGAGACTGGCCTCTCCCTCTGAAGTGATGGGATCAACTGTGTGCGCTACCACACTCAGCTCAGGGACTAAATAGAGTGTAGTGTGAGCTACATTTTCTGGTCATTTGCCCTTTCTTATCACATTTACAACTGTACTCTGTTCCCCAATGCCACCGTGATGGTTTCCTCCAAACACATAAGAAACAGAAGCATTGGAGGTTTAGAGAGACTTTGGCATCATGCTGGTCATATTTAGAATTTGCAGAAAGACTGTTGTATTTTGTCTGTCAGGATACATTCCAATTTTATAGATTCTAAACAGCGAAAAATATGTTTTAAATTTCTTGTAGTCAGCAAAATACAGTGTTTCAACCAACCACCCCATAACTGTTAACATCACCTCAGTTTTAGTGTCTTCATTCCTTAGTGAGCAACTGCCCCAGCATAATTATAACTTGTATTTTAAATCAGAACTACTCTAAATGTGATCCAATGAGGAGTTTTTCTGGACATGCAGAGTCTGGAGTAGGAACTAAAACCCCATGTTTTAATAAGATCCCAGAGGTTCTTAAACACATTAAGCTTTGAGAGGTGCTCTTTTAAACCTCATCCTAAATATTTCTAGGACAAATCTGGCCAGAGGGAAGAGTTAAGAAGTATCTAAGATATTTGTGGTGGTACATGTCTGTAATCCCAGGAACTAGCACTGAGGAGCCTGAGACAGAAGTATTGGAGGTTTAAGGCCACTGTGAGCTACATAGCAAATTCTAAGTCAGCCTAGGATGCAAAGTGAGACTGTGTCTTTAAATAAATATGTAAATAAGCAGCATTCAGTAGGACCAGAGACATGGATCCATGGTGAAGCATTTGCCTGGCATGAATTAAACCCCACTGAGTTTAATCCCCCAGGACTGCAGAGTGAAACAGAAGTATCATCCAAGAAAGCTTTGCCTTTTCTTGCTAACCAAGTATTCCGTCTCTAAATAAGTGTAGTTTTGGTCATACTTAGTAGAGCCTTGGATATTACACTCATTCCTAATAGGAAGTAATCTTCTATTTTTGTCTTTCATCCCCCAGCTGTGATTTACCATGCCTTTTCTCATAAAGAAGCCAAGGAGCACGATGTACAGGTACAGTCTTTCAAAGGTGGACTGGGAGTAGACTTGATAGCAAAGATGGTTCAATGTCTTCTAAGACTGGTGTAGCTGTCCTTTCCCATGGATTACTCTTCACCTGTACAGTCAGCATATTAGGCCCCATTGAGGTCTTTTGTGATGTCTTCTTGTGCCAGGCTCCTTTTTTAGTGTACCAGAGTCAGCTCTGGGGGACTTGGACTCCTAGATTTCATGTCATCTCCCACTCCATGGGCAATGACAGCCTGTGCCTACCTGAACCCTGACTTGCTCTTGCTTCTGTGTTCAGTGTTCAGGCCATTTCATAAGTGAATGTTATAAATTCTGTCTGGATGTTTCAGCATGCTTTGTCAGTTGGGTAGAAGTTTCACCTGTTGAGTGTCCTGGCTCTGCCCGGACCCCATCTCTGGGCACCAGCCACTCAGGGAACACCTGCCCAACTTGGCCCCAGGTTCTGGCCACTGGGCAGGTTCCCTTCTAGCCCCACCGGAAAGGAATCCCCCTCTCCAAGACCCCTGGCAGACCCTGCAATCTCCATGCCCTGCCCCCACGCCCATCCGCCCAAGACCCCAGCCACTTCCTGAGACTTAGTGGCCATCCCCCAGCTCCCATTCTGTCCTGGACTTCCCTTCTGGAACCGAGAGAGAGAGAGAGAGAGAGAGAGAGAGAGAGAGAGAGAGAGAGGCAGAGAGGGAGACAGAGTAGAGCTCCCATCCTGCCCTGGACTTCCCTTCTGGACAAGAGCTCCCATCCTGCCCCGGAGTTCCCATTTGGACAAGAGAGCTCCCATCTGGACAAGAGAGAGAGACTTCCTGAATCTGTCAGTTCTGTCTGAACCAAGTGTGCTGATAAGACCAAGAATGAACCACAAGGAGATGGGCAGAGGTCAAGGCAGAAATACATACAACAAAATGAATAGCAATACAGCATCACCAGAACCTAGCCCTCCTCCAACACCTAGATCTGAACATCAAAAATTGGAAGAAGCAGAAGAAAACAGCCTTATGATTGACATCATGAAGAAGGTAGAGGATTGTGTAGAGGAAATGACAAAAAAATGGGAAGAACACTGTAAACAACTAGAGGAAAGGGCAAACAAATTAGAAGAAATCAATAAAGTCCTGGAAGAAAACAATAACGTACTGAAAGAAAATCAAGAAAAAGCAATGAAACAAATGAAGGAAGCAGTCCAAGATCTGAAAAGGGAAATAGAAAAAATGAAGGAGACGCAAACAGAGGGAATGCTGGAAATAGAAGATCTGGCTAAATGATCGGGAACTTCAGATGCAAGAATAACCAACAGAATGCAAGAGATGGAAGAGAGGATCTCTGGCATTGAAGATACAGTAGAAGAAATAGATTCATCAGTCAAAGAAAACACTAAAGCCAACAAAGTCATGAACCAAAATGTTCAAGAAATTTGGGACACCATGAAAAGACCAAACCTGCGAATAATAGGGGTAGAAGAAGGAGAAGAATACCAACTCAAGGGCACAGAAAATATATTCAACAAGATCATAGAAGAAAACTTTCCCAACTTAAAGAAGGAAATGCCTATGAAGATACAAGAAGCCTATAGAACACCAAACAGACTAGACCCCCCAAAAAAGTCCCCTCGCCACATAATAATTAAACAACTAAACGTACAGAATAAAGAAAGAATATTAAGAGCAGCAAAGGAAAAAGGCCAAGTGACTTATAAAGGCAAACCCATCAGAATAACACCCGATTTCTCAATGGACACTTTGAAAGCCAGAAGGAACTGCACAGATGTAATGCAGACACTAAGAGACCATGGATGCCAGCCTGGATTAATATACCCAGCAAAACTTTCAATCATCATAGATGGAGAGAACAAGACATTTCAAGACAAAGCCAGATTTAAACAATACTTATCCACAAACCCAGCCCTACAGAAAGCACTAGAAGGGAAATTCCAACCTAAGGAAGTCAGATACACACTTGAAAACACAGGCAATAGATAACACCACAGCAGTAAACCCCAACGAAGAGAAGTACACACACATCACCACCAAAAAATAACAGGAATGAACAATCACTGGTCATTAATATCCCTCAATATCAATGGACTTAATTCACCTATAAAAAGACATAGGCTTACAGAATGGATACGAAAGCAGGACCCATCTTTCTGCTGCATACAAGAAACATATCTCAAATTCAAAGATAGACACTACCTAAGAATAAAAGGCTGGGAAAAGACTTTCCAATCAAATGGTCTTAAAAAACAAGCGGGTGTAGCCATCCTGATATGCAGTAAAATAAGACTTCAAACTAAAATCAATCAAAAGAGATCAAGAAGGGCATTACATACTCATCACAGGAAAGATCCACCAGGATGAAGTCTCAATTCTGAATATTTATGCCCCAAACACAAGGGCACCCACATATGTAAAAGAAACATTACTAAAGCTTAAATCACATATAAAATCCCACACATTAATAGTGGGAGACCTCAACACCCCACTTTCACTACTGGACAGATCTCCCAAATCGAAACTTAACAGAGAAATAAAGGACTTAACTGATGTCATGACTCAAATGGCCTTAATCAATATCTACAGAACATTCCATCCTAACAAAAAAGAATATACCATCTTCTCAGCACCCCATGGAACCTTCTCTAAAATGGACCAAATACTTGGCCACAAAACAAATCTCAACAGATACAAAACAATTGGAATAACCTCCTGTGTTCTATCAGACCACCATGGTCTAAAGTTGGATTTCAACAACAACAAAATCTACAGAAATCCTACAATCTCATGGAAACTGAATAATACTCAACTGAATCACCAATGGGTTAAGGAAGAAATAAAGATAGAAATTAAAGACTTCCTAGAGATCAACGAAAATGAAGACACCACATATCCAAACCTATGGGACACTATGAAAACAGTACTAAGAGGGAAATTCATAGCACTAAATGCCCACATAAAGAAGTTGGAGAAATCTCACACTAGTGACTTAACAGCATACCTGAAAGCTCTAGAACAAGAAGGAACAAAGTCTCCCAGGAAAAATAGACGCCAGGAAATTATCAAAGTGAGAGCTGAAATCAATAAAATAGAAACAAAGAGAACAATACAAAAAATTAATGAAAATAAAAGGGTTGGTTCTTTGAGAAAATCAACAAGATAGACAAGCCCTTATCCAAACTAACCAAAAGACAGAGAGAGAGCATCCAAATCAATAAAATCAGAAATGAAAAGGGGGACATAACAACAGACATTGAGGAAATCCAGATAATCATCAGGTCATACTTCAAAAACCTCTACTCCACAAAACTGGAAAACCTAAAAGAAATGGATAATTTTCTGGATAGGTACCACATACCTAAGTTAAATCAAGACCAGATAAACTATTTAAATAGTTCAATAACCCCTAACGAAATAGAAACAGTTATGAAAAGTCTCCCAAACAAAAAAAGCCCAGAACCAGATGGTTTCAGCGCAAAATTCTACCAGATCTTCAAAGAAAAATTAATACCAATACTCTCTAAATTGTTCCACACAATAGAAACAGAAGGAACATTACCAAACTCCTTCTATGAGGCTACAATTACCCTGATTCCTAAACCAAACAAGGATACAACAAAGAAAGAGAACTACAGACCGATCTCCCTCATGAACATTGATGCAAAAATACTCAATAAAATATTGGCAGACTCCAAGAACACATCAAAACAATTATCCACCATGATCAAGTAGGCTTCATTCCAGGGATGCAAGGGTGGTTCATCATACGAAAGTCCATCCATGTAATACACCATATAAACAAACTCAAAAAAAAAATCACATCATCATCTCACTAGATGCAGAAAAGGCATTTGACAAAATCCAACACCCCTTCATGATAAAGGTCTTGGAGCGATCAGGAATACAGGGAACATATCTAAACATAATAAAGGCAATTTACAGCAAGCCAACAGCCAACATCAAATTAAATGGAGAGAAACTCAAAGCAATTCCACTAAAATCAGGAACGAGGCAAGGCTGTCCGCTCTCTCCATACTTATTCAATATAGTACTTGAAGTTCTAGCCAGAGCAATAAGACAACATAAGGGGATAAAAATTGGAAAGGAAGAAGTCAAGGTTTCCCTATTTGCAGATGACATGATAGTATACTTGAGCGACCCCAAAGATTCCACCAAGGAACTGATACAGCTTATAAACAACTTCAGCAACATAGAAGGATACAAGATCAACTCAAAAAAATCAGTAGCCCTCCTATATACAATGGACAAAGAAGCGGAGAAGGAAATCAGTGATACATCACCCTTTACAATAGCCACAAATGACATAAAATACCTTGGGGTAACACTAACCAAGCAAGTGAAGGACCTATATGACAAGAACTTCAAGTCCCTGAAAAAAGAAATTGAAAAAGATCTCAGAAAATGGAAAGATCTCCCATGCTCATGGATAGGCAGGACTAACATAGTAAAAATGGCAATCTTACCAAAAGCAATCTACAGATTCAATTCAATCTCCATCAAAATACTAACACAATTCTTCACAGACCTGGAAAGAATAATAATCAACTTCATATGGAAAAAAAACCCAGGATAGCCAAAAGAATCCTGTATAATAACACAGCCTCTGGAAGCATCATGATCCCTGACTTCAAACTCTACTATCGAGCTACAGTAATAAAAACAGCTTGGTACCGGCATAAAAACCAACATGTGGACCAATGGAATCAAATTGAAGAGCCTGACATTAGTCCACACACCTATGAACATATAATTTTTGACAAAGAAGCCAAAAGTGCACAATGGAAGAAAGAAAGCATCTTCAACAAATGGTGCTGGCATAACTGGATATCAACATGTAGAAGGCTGCAAATAGATCCATATCTATCACCGTGCAACAAAACTGAAGTCCAAGTGGATCAAGGACCTCAACATAAATCCAGCTACTCTGAACCAGCTAGAAGAGAAAGTAGGAAGTAGTCTTGAACGCATTGGCATAGGAGACCACTTTCTAAATAGAACACCAGTAGCACAGACACTGAGAGAAACAATCAATCAATGGGACCTCTTGAAACTGAGAAGCTTTTGTAGAGAAAAGGATATGGTCAACAAGGCAAAGCGACAGCCTACAGAATGGGAAAAGATCTTCACCAACCCCACATCTGACAGAGGACTGATATACAGAATATATAAGGAACTCAAGAAATTAGACATCAAAATGCCCAACAGTCCAATTAAGAAATGGTCTATTGAACTTAACAGAGAATTCTCAACAGAGGAAACTCAAATGGCTGAAAGACATTTAAGGAATTATTCAACATTCCTAATCATCAGGGAAATGCAAATCAAGACAACTCTGAGATACCACCTTATGCCTGTCAGAATGGCTAAGATCAAAGACACTGAAGACACCTTATGCTGGAGAGGATGTGGAGCTAGGGGAACTCTCCTCCACTGCTGGTGGGGATGCAAGCTTGTACAACCACTTTGGAAGTCAATATGGCGCTTTCTTAGAAAATTGGGAATCCATCTCCCCCAAGATCCAGCTATACCACTCTTGGGCATATACCCAAGGAATGCTCAACCACACCACAAGAGCACTTGTTCAGCTATGTTCATATCAGCATTGTTTGTAATAGCCAGAACATGGAAACAACCTAGATGCCCTTCAATTGAAGAATGGATAAACAAAATGTGGTACATATACACAATGGAATACTACTCAGCAGAGAAAAACAATGACATCATGAGGTTTACAGACAAATGGATGGATCTAGAAAAAATCATCCTGAGTGAGGTAACCGAGACTCAGAAAGACAAACATGGTATGTACTCACTCATAGGAGGATACTAGATGTGGAACAGGATGACTGGACTGCTACTCACATCACCAGGGAGGCTACCTGGAAAACAGGACCCCAAGAAAGACAAGGGGATCACCCACTGACGGAGAAATGGAAGAGATCTACATGAACAGCCTGGACATGAGTGGGGTTAATGAAGGGCAAGGGTCGAGGGAAAGAGAGCTTGGGGGAGTGGGAGATCCCAGCTGGATCAACAACAGAGAGGGAGAACAAGGAATAGGATACCATGGTAAATGAAGACCACATGAAAATAGGAAGAAGCAAAGTGCTAGAGAGTTCCACAGAAACCCACAAAGATACCCCCACAACAGACGGCTGGCGATGGTCGAGGGACAGCCCAAACGGACCTACTCTGCTGATGGGATGACCAAACACCCTAATTGTCGTGCTAGAAACCCCACTCAACGACTGAGGGATCTGGATGCTGAGATCCATGGCTAGGCCCTGGGTAGATCTCTGGGAGTCCAATTAATGAGAATAAGGAGGGTTTATATGAGCGAGAATTGTTGAGACCAAGGTTGGATAAAGCACAGACAAATAGCCAAACAAATGGAAACACATGAAGTATGAACCAATGTATGAGGGGTCACCAACTAGATCAGGACCTCTGAATGGGTGATACAGTTGATTGCCTTGATCTGTTTAAGAGGCATCCAGGCAGAGGGACCAGGTCCTGTGCTCATTGCATGAGGTGGCTGTTTGAAACCTGGGGCCTATGCAGAATCGCTTGCCTCGGCCTGGGAGGAGGGGACTGGACCTACCTGGAGGGAGTCTACCAGCTTGATCTCAGTCCATGGGGGAGGCTTCACCCTGGAGGAGGTGGAAATGGTTAGTGGACTGTGGGGAATGTGAGGGGGGGTGGAGGGGGGAGAACAAGGGAATCCGTGGCTGATATGTAGAACTGAATTGTATTGCAAAATAAAAATAAAAATTAAAAAAAAACAAAAAAAAAAGAAGTGTCACCTGTGTCTCATAAAGAGCACATGCCCTACCAGGCTGTGTGGCGCATGCCTTTAATCCCAGTTCTTGGGAGGCAGAGGCATGCAGATCTCTGAGTTTAAAGACAGCTAGGGATACACAGAGAAACCCTGTCTCAAAAAAGCAAAAGAGAGAGAATATCCTTGAAATCAAGATTTTAAAAGGCCTTGATTTTATTTCCTCATGAAAGAGAGACCACATATGTGTTTAAAAGAACCAAATTGTTCTGATATTGATGATAGATTGTTTAGCCATCCCGACTTTGAACTGCCTCAAAGATTGTGTGTTCTGTCTTTTTACCCCCTGCTTTAGCAGAGAGAGGGTATCGGCTACTGTTGATATGTTAACCTAAATAAAGCTGGCAGTTAGCCTCAGACTTGTTTTTACTGTCTGGTTAGTGAAAAAAGAGCCCAGCAAATGGTCCAGCCAAGAGGTAGGTCCTCAGGAAAGAGCACTGCCCGGGTTGCAGCAGATGAAAGCCAAGTGAGATGCCTGCTGCCCAGTGAAGAATAGACTGTTGCTGCCCTAACTTGAGAGGTGGTGACACTAGAGTGTCTCAGGACTGGGCGCAACAGTGAAGTGGTTTCACCAGCTCTTCTCTGGGGTATTACAGTCCTATGGATGAGAGTGAGTAGTGCCCGAGATGCACTTCACGCTTTCTGCCTCAAGGGGGACTGGAACAGACCTCTCCAACAGCAGCCACCTAGAGGCCACAAGGCTGAAAAGCAAGAAAAGGGGACTGGGGTGCTCAGTGTCAGATTTCCTCCTCCTTGACCTGCCTGGAACCCCCAGGCAATTTCCCCTAGTTCTGGAATGGCTCATTTCCCTAACAACCCCAGCTCCCTTCTATTTCAAGCTAGTCTTGTGGTCATGACTTATTAAATAACCTGCATCATGCATTTCTCAAGCTTCCTTCCCCACAAGGATTAGAGAAGTCTTGTGTTACAAAGGATTTTGAATGCTCAATAGAGTTACCTCAGAGAAACAGGACAGGAAGTCAGTGTTTGACCTGGCTACAGTGTAGGACAGTGTCACAGTTAGCATGTGAGTGTTACTTTTACATCTTGGCAGTCGTGTGTAGAAAACACTTGGAAGACAAGGGATTTGTAACCTAGATCAGCAAAAATGGTGGCTCTCAGGAACGGGACATGAGGACCCTGGAGTCTGAGAACAGAACAGTAAACCACACCACCATGTTTCCGAGCAGGAGCTGGGAAGCCAGCTGGCTGAGGCCTTTGTGAGGGCCTTCCTGAAGCAGAGCATACCTCACTGGAGCCAGCAAGACTGTGAGAGCCATCTGCAACGCAAGGCTGTGGTCTTGGAATACTTGTCAGAAGCCAAAGCAGCAGCAGAAGAAATCCAAAGGCCTCACTGCCAAACAGAGGAGAGACATGAGGCTCTTTGACATTAACCCATAGCAACAGAGGTATGCCCATCTTTCCTAAAGGCCTTGCCACTCATCATTGCCTGGTCTTTCTGGTCAGGGTGTAGACTGGTGATTCCAGGGGCTCACTAGGCAGCCCTGCCTCCTTAGTCTCAGGGGCTTCTCTGCCTTTCATCACAGGAGGCAGCCTCCCCCTACCAATTTTTTTATGTCTTGGCTTGACTTCTAAAAGTCAGGCATTGGTGAGCCAGAGAAATTTCATTAATTAGTGTCTCTCCTAGGCTCACTAATAAGTGAGTCTGTTACCCATAGCCACAGACTCTCTTGGCTTTCTAGAAAAGAGGAACTGATATTCCTTAATATGGACTTTCCTATAGCTTTTAATATCCCTAGACAGAATCACCCACTCAAAGGTTACTGCCAAGGAGAGGTACTGCCTACACATGTCTGAAGTTTCTGAAAGGAATGTATCACTTTCTTGTGGGAGGATGTCTCCTTTAAGGCAGTTCTGAGTTTGTGTGTACAGCCACTATTTTTAGGCTTTATATAACACTCTATTGCCACATAGCCTTCCACGTCCCAGAAGGCATGCGAGTGTCACTTTACTCTGGGACTGTCTCCCTGGGTTTCTTGCAGGAAGTTCTTGTTTCAGGTTTGAGCCTGGTGTTCTTGACTCTCTGACCCTGGCTTTGTGTGAAAGGGCACCAAGACAAATGTTAATAGTCCCTCGGAAAATCTTTTGGTCCTCTCCCTTCACTTTCTGGACAATCCCAGTACTTTACACAAGGACCTGCTTTGCAAGTCTGCTCCTTAACCTCCTATATCACTGGGTTAAACAAGGTTGATGTTAATTTTGTTTCTTGTTGGGAGCATTCCTGCAGGGCTGCAGCTTGTTTATTTCCTGAGTGTTAGCACCTAACTTTGATCTGCTTTTTGTGATTGCTACATCTTGTCTCCATTACCTCCTGTTTGAAGTCCTATCTGAGTGTTTGCTAGGAGTTCAAAACCTATGAAAACTTGGTTTAGGGACAATCCAGAAAACTGTGGTATTCCTTTACTGAGAATTTGCAATTGGCATAGTCCCTTTGGAGAGGCTTAGATAAGGTGTTTTGGTATATGGAACTGACTTCCTAAAGGTGTTAATTGTACAACAATAAAAGGGCCCTTTGCTTATCTACAATGTTTCAGTCCAGAGAGACAGACCCCCTCTGAAGGTGGAAAAGTCAAAAATCATACTTAGAATGCTCTGTGCCTTCTTTCCATGGACCCCTGTGAACACACAGCAAATATACAACGTTTTGGTGCGACATTGTCATGGTGCTTGAAGAAGGACAGAGGATCCTGACACTTTTAAGAATTGGAAGAAGTTCACTCTCCGGGTAGGATGACTCCAGGATTGGCAGGGTCATGGGGAATTTAAACTCCCCATCTCAGGAGCACAAAATGTACAATTGCTAAAACGCTTGTTAAATGCAAAAGCAGTAACTGTACAATTTTTAAAGATAGAAATAAAATGGCTCCTGAGACAAAGAATAAATCAAGGAAAAAGGCCCATCTCAATAGAGAAAAGGGAAGGAAAGGAAATTAAAGGAAATCCCTGGATCGTAAAGGGAGAAATGCTTAATCAAAAAAGAAAAAACAAAAACGATTTTCCTGGTAAAAAGGGGAAAATTATCAAATCAAGGACTAAAAATTAAAAGTCACTGTGAACAAAAAATAAGGGAAAGAAAAAAAGCCTCTTCCCAGTAAAAATAGGAAGAAAAAAGTCTCTTTTTGATATAAGAAATTGAGGATAGTTGTAACTTAGAGCTCTCCCTGCCTGTCAGCTCTTTCACAGACCTGAGGGTCAGCAAAAAGAGGGGGCATCTGAATTACAAAGAATGAGTGGCAGGGCCTCACTGCTGCAGCCTGAGCAAGCACAGCAGGCTCAGAGCTGAGAGTTTTCTTGTCTGTTGGCTTAACTTTGGTTTAAATGATTCTTGTTTTTTTTTCATCACAGCAGGAATAACTCAATATTAAAGATCCCTTCCTGGGAAATATTTTTTATCTTTCCTTATAGTTGGAATAAATCATTATCAATGGTCCCTTCATGGGAGAAAGAAAAAATTTTAAACAAGCCCAACTTCTAGTAAAAAACAAGTATGGTCAGGGCATAAAGTACTAAGTTAACACTGTTTGAATATCCAGAGATATTAGTCATTCATTGTGTAAAGGATGTTCTCTTCTCTTGATTGTCTAATCATAATGTTTAATTTTTATAGTAAATGAATTGGAAGAACAACATTCATGACTTTAAACTATAGTATTGTGTTTGCTCTTCTCTGTTGGTCATTTACTGAAGATTTGGCTTCATTCTTTTAAGTTGCTTTCTAGAAAGTCTTGGTTAAATTGCATAAAAATGTAACACTTGAAACAGATTGGGTGGTTAGCTTATTAGATACTATGGTTACTAAGGTAAAAGCTCATAAAAATGATCTCTTACTGATAAGGAGCTTACAAAAATTATTTTTCCACTAAGTAAAATATAGGTAAATTGTTTGACCCACACTGTTAATAATTGGCAAGTTACATTAACATGTTACTTAAGATCTGTAAAAAAGTATCCTCCTGTTAAAATTTTATAAAAATATTTCATAGTATTACTTAAAGTTACCTCTTAAAATCCTATAGATATTGTTTTCAATGCTTTTATAGATGGCTTATGTAAAAAAGGACTATGCAAATAAATGCTGTTGGTAAAGTTGCTCAACTGTTATTACTTCCATATTTTTAATGTAAAGCAAATCCAATTGTAAGACAGAAGATTTAAAAAATACTTAAAAAAAAAAGCCAGGTGGTGATGGTACACGCCTTTAATCCCAGCACTCGGGAAGCAGAGCCAGGCAGATCTCTGTGAGTTTGAGGCCAGCCTGGTCTACAGATCGAGATCCAGAACAGGCACCAAAGCTACACAGAGAAACCTTGTCTCAAAATAAATAAATAAATAAATAAATAAATAAATAAATAAATAAATAAATAAATGCTGAAAAAATGTTTTGACAAACTATTATTAATAAGAGGCCAAAGCTAAAATTACAAGTAAATGATATTCAAATTTCAGGCCTACCAGACACTAAAGCTGATATATCTGTAAATTTTCAAAATCTTAAAATCCCACTTGGCCTTTACAAGAAGTCTCCACTCAATTTGTAGTCAATGGAACCTTATCTCAGGTATAAACAGAATGTAGAATGGATTAAATATATATGGACTGAAGGACAAATAGGTATGTTAAAGCCTTGTGTAGTTGATATTGCTGTGAATTTTGGGGAGAGAAATTTGTTACAACAATGGGGAACTCAAATTAATGTTCTTACAATTTCAGAAACAGCTCACAAAATGATGTTAAAAATGGAGTAAATTCCTAGAAAAGGTATTGGAAAAAATTGTTGAGGAGAATAAGAGGATATACAGCAGGATATCTTCTTTGTTTTGTTCAACAGCAGGATAAAATAGGAATTGCCTATTCAAATTTGGAGTAGGAGCCACTGCTGGTAATCTAACTAGTTAAAAGGGCTAACTAATAAGCCTACATGGGTGGGGCAGTGGCCCTTAACTAAAGAAAAGTTACAGGCACTTGAACAACTAGTAAAAGAACAGTTAGGTGCTAAGCACATAGAGGAAACTACTAGTCCTTGGAATTTTCCTGTTTGTAATAAAAAAAGAATCTGGAAAATGGAGATTATTAATTGACTTAAAAGTGATTAATAAGATGATTCCACCTATGAGATCTTTATAGTCTGGAATACCTTTATCTTCCTTATTATCTAAGGATTGACCTATTATAGTTATTGATTCACAAGATTGCTTCTTTATTATTCGTTTACAAGAACAGGATAGGGAAAAATTTGCTTTTCCAATTCCTACTAATAATAATGCTCACCCAGTAAAATGATGTCATTGAAATGTCCTTCCCCAAGGAATGTTAAATAGCCCAACTTTACGTCAATATTTTGTACATCAACCACTAGAAATGGTTTGTAAACAATTTCTTCAATCTATTATCATTATATGGATGATATTTTATTGGCTGCTTCTGATACAGATACATTAGAAAAAATGTTTAATGTGGTACAGAAAATTTTACCCTGTTGGGGACTACAAATTTCTCCTGAAAAAAAAATGCAAAGAGGAGATTCTTTTAGTTATTTAGGATTTAAATTAAGTAAACTGAGAATTCAGCTGCAAAAAGTCCAGATTTGGGGAGATCCAATGCACACTCTTAATGATTTTCAAAAAATATTGGGTGATATTAATTGGTTACCTGTTGTATGATATTTTGTTTGTGTTCTGACAAATAAAGCTTTCCTGGAGATCAGAGGGTAGAGCTAGCCACTAATTAACCATAAAGGCCAGGCAGTGGTGGCACACATCTTTAATTCTAGCATGTGAGATGAGGAAGCAGAAAGATAAGGAGTTCAAGGCCACCCTGGGCTATACAAGATTGAACCAGTATAAAAGAGAAACAGAGCTAGGTAATGGTGGCTCACACCTTTAAGCCCAGCACATGGGAGGCTCACACCTTTAATCCCAGCAGTAAGAAGGATCATGTCTTTGATCCCAGCACATGGGAGGTGGGGACAGGAATTTAAGGTGGTGGGTGGAGACAGGATCTACCCACCCATTCAGTCTAAGGATTCATAGAGATGGGATATTCCCCATTCAGTCTGAGATTTTGTAGAGGCTTTAAGAAGTCTTTCTAGTGGTTGCCTGCTCTGCTGATCTTTCAGCTTTTACCCTTGACATCTGACTCAAGGTTTTTATTGTTAAGGTTAATTAGGATCACACTTCATTTACATCCTACCATTGGATTGTGTACTCAAGAATTAAATAATTTGCTTCAAATTTTGCAAGGTGACTCAGATTTAAACAGTCCAAAGCAATTAACAGCTGAGGCTTAAAGTGAATTAGCCTAAGTTGAACAAAAATTACAAAATGCCTATATGTGGATCGATTAGATCTCATAACTAAATGTATTTTAGTAA